TTTTTTTTTTTTTAATTTCCTTGATATTAACCTTTCAGTGGGAAAATATGTCATTTTGCCATTAAGGAGACTATATCATCTTGTTTTGCTCAAGTAGCTTTTCCCTACTTCTTGAAAATGGTCTCGTATTACTGAGACCATATTACTGAGACTGTTTTTCATGTTTCAGTGGAAACAGATATCATTTTATCCTCATTAAACAATTTATTCAAATATAGAGGATGAAGACGTTCCTAAATAAACACTCAGATGATACTTACATTTTGTAACAGAAGGCTTGGAAAACTCAGTTTGAACCTAGAAAATATTTAAGGTCAAATTTTTCTACTCAACCACATCAGTCATTGAAAAAGTCAGCATAGATGTAATTGAATGAAAGAGCATAAAACTTTGCTTTGCTTTGATGACTCAAGATCACCAAAGCCCAAGTTTCTCTTTTGAACACTTTACAAACTTCACAGTCCACGTGATAAAAAGGTGACTATGCGACTGGGCTAATGACAGGCATGCTTTATGCTGCAGCTGTGCCCTCTGTCCCTAAAACAAATACTTCAAAAGTCATATCATTTAACAGGGAAAAACCAATCACATTTTTAAAGTAAACACAGAGAATTAATGTAGAACTAACTCCTTAGAAGCAATTTCACAGATTTTTATTCCTCTTCCTTTTTGTGGTGCGCACACATATGTGTACACATGCATAAACACTCATTTAAACATTTCTTAGGCCTTTGTGTGCATAAGGGTACAATTGTAAGAGCCATTGTTTTATTCTAGGAAATATTTCATAGTAGTTTCTTTTGGAAGGATGAGACCATTTTTCGCAACTTTATTATGAATTCTGATTTTGTTTGTTTGTTTTCTTCTTCGAGAGAGATTTTTGCTATGGGGCACATGCGCTCACCGGAGAGACAGAAAGCAGGAGATCACTCCCCACAGGGAGGATGGCAATCCCTTCTACTCCATTTTCCTCTCTTGATTTTGAGCACGCAGTACACGCGCCTGCAGTGATTTAAACTACTGCCTCTGGGACTTGAACTGCAGTCGACTACATGGGAGTTCATCAACATAAACATTACACCATCTGCTGGGCCCATGAAATCTGTTTTGTATGTGCTGGTATATTTTTGAATATTTTACATATCCTAACTATGTTTGGAAATAACATATTTAGCTATATTTTTTTCTGTAATGATTTACATGCTCTATCTTATTGGAAATAGAAGAGATAAAGAACAGGAATCATTTAAAAGCATATTTATTTCTGTTCATAGTTAAAGAAAATTATGGTAACATGCTCCTGGCCCACAGACCGAACTAAAGACATAGTGAATATTTTCTGCTTTCTAGGTTATTTGGTGTTTCCAAGCATTTTATTTTTGCATTTCATTTTATTTTTGTTTCTTTTTTTTTATAGAATGTTTTAAATTTTATTGTGATTTTAACATTTTCTTTTCAAAATCAAGCATATTAAAAATTACACTTATCTATAAATACAGATATACATATAAATATAAATGTTATTTTCTGAAACTAGAGTCTGTTGAAATTTTTTGATACTTTTGATTATTGTCTAAGCATCTTCATACATAAATTTTTGTGAGGCTAATGGGGGAAGGCTAGTGGGCTGAGATGAACAGTGCATGCCTCCCTGTCCTCCAGGAGTTTATAGTCTATTAGAGAAGCTAATCTTCAACAATAACTTTTGAATAGATGTTACATTACCGATCAAAGTTTGTTTGGACCATGAGATAAAAACAGACAAGGTATACATCATGTGTGTCTTCTTTCTCTATTTACATTTAGTTGTACATCGTTGTAGGGCACCATGTGGATTTTCAAAGCATGAATGCAGTGTACAATAGCTAATCCTATCAATGGTAATTTTCAGCAAAAAACACATTGTGATGTGTATCTTTGATTTTTGTTCTACTAGTCTTTTAACAAATTTTAAGTATATAGTGTGTTATCATTGACTATAGGTGCAGTGCTGTGCAGTAGACCTCCAGAGTCCATTTATCGTGGTCCACCGAAACTTTATGTCCATTGATTAATAACTCCCCATTTCATTCTGCCCTTCCTTTATCTTCCTTATTCCCATGGCAACTACCATTCCACTTTTTGATTTCATAAATAGGACTTTTTTGATGACCTCATATGGTGTAATCATGCAGTGTATTTCTGTGATAGGTATATTACATTTGACATTCCTTCAAAGTTCATCCATGTTGTTATTTATTAAAGAATTTTCTTCTTTTTGAAGGCTGAATAGTAGTTCATTATATGCATATAGCATGTTTTCTGCATCCATTCATCTGTTTATGAGCACATGTGTTGTTTCCAAATCTCAGCTATTGCAAAGAGTATAGCAAGTGAACAGAAGAGGGCTAATATCTTGTTAATATATTGATTTCAGCTTTTTTGGATAAATATCCATAAGTGGGGTTACTGGGTCATATGGTGGTTCTATTTCTTATTGTTTGGGAATACTCCATACTATTCTACATACTGCCTGCACCATTTATTATTTCCACCAATAGTGTGCAAGAATTCCAACTTCCTGCTAAGCCAGCCTACACAGCTCTGAGTTGCTATCTGTAATTAGTAATGTTGAACAGATTTTCATAAACTTCTTAGCCATTTTTATATCTTATTTGGAGAAATGTCTATTCAAGTTCTTAGCACATTTTTTAAAATAATTTTTTATTTTTAATTTTATTTCTTATCATTATTTAAATTTTGACCAGAGTCTGACAGAGACAGAGGCAGAGACAGAGACAGAGGGAGAGTGAGAAAGCAAGCCATCAGGTCCAGGATTTGAACAGTGGTCAATCATTTGGGAATTCTGTACCTCAACCACTATGCCACTTGCTGGCCCCTTAGCCAACTTTTAACTGGGATATTAGCTTAGTTTTGTTTTCTATTGGGTGACTTATGTATTTTGGAGACTAACCACCTATTTGGATAATTGGTTTGCAAATATTTTCTCTCCTTCTGTAGATTTTCATTCTACTCTTAATTTCTTCACTGTACAGAAACTGTTAAGTTTTGTGCAATCTCACTTATTTATTTTTATTTTTGTCATCTATACTTTTGTATGCTACTCATAAAATTATTGCCAAGACCCATGTCATGAAGCTTTTTTTCTTATTTTCTTTTTTTGGAGAAGTTTTTGCTATAGAGCGCGTGCTCTCGCCAGAAAGAGAGAGAGAGACAGAGAGACAGAAAGCGAGAAATCACCCCCCAGGGGGGATGGCCACGCCACAATCCCGTCTCTTCCATTCTCCTCTTGGGATCTTGGGCATGCACACACACGCACCTGGTGTGAGTTTAAGCCACCGAGTCCAGGACCTGAACTGCAGTCGGCTATGTGGGAGTCCAGTGACATAGCCATTATGCTAACTGCTGGTCCCCTGTCATGAAGCTTTTGACTTCTGATTTTTTTTCTAGATGTTTTATTACAGTTTCAGGTCTTTTGTTTAAGTTTTTCATTGATTTTTACTTGATAGAAATTGGGATTCATTTTATTCTTTTGCTTGTGGGTATTTAGTTTTATCAGCATAACTTATTAAAGAGACTGTATTTGCCTTATTGCATATTCTTAGCATACTTGTTGAAAACCAGTCTATTTTATATACTCGGATATATTTCAGTGTCTCTGTTTTGTTTAATTGGTCTATATATCTGTTTCTATGCCAGTTTTTTATTACGATAGCTTTGTAATGAATTTCAGAATAGGAAATTAGAATCCTCCAGTTTTGTTCTTTCTTAAGGTTGATATGTCTATTCATGGTGGTGTTGGCTCCATATAAACTTTAGAATTTTTTTCTATTCCTACACAAAAAATTGTCATGTGGCCAGCAGGTGGTGTGGTACATGGCTGACCACAGTTTGAGCCCTGGACCTGGCAGCTTGCTTTCTCACTTTCCCTTTCCCTCTCTGTCTCTGTGTCTCTCTGATCAGATTATACAATAATAATCATTTTTAAAATTGTCATTAGAGTTTTGATAGAGATTGCACTAAATCTGTAGATTGCCTTGAGTACTAAGAACATTTTAACATTAAGTCTTCCAGTAAGTCTTCTCTTAATAAGGATGTCTTAGTGTTTTTGTCTTGTTTATTTTCTATCACCAATAGTTTATAATTTTCAATATATGCTTCCTTCACTTCTTTAGATAAGTTTATTCCTAGATGTTTTTTTATTATTGTTGTTGTTATTATTACTGACAGAAATTACATGCATTCATCAGAGAGAGAGTGGGTTGTAGTCATATCATAATCCCTTCTCCTCCATTCCTTCATCTTACTGAGATTCAAGGCATGCATGCACATGTACCCAGTATAGTTTTTAAGTTGCTGATTCAAAGGTTTGAACTATAGTAAGCCATGTGAGACTCAGCTCCCTTAACCAGTAGGCCATGGGACTGGCCCAGGTGTTTTATTGTTGTTGATATTATTGTAAATGGAATTATTTATTTCATTTCCTTCTTGATTGTTCACTGATAGTATAAAGAAACATCACTGGGGTCAGTCCCACTGTATCATTCCAATTTTAGTATGTGTGCTGCCAAAGCGAGCACAGTCCCACTGTGAAGTGGTGTGGTACTGTACATTAAGCTGGATTCCACATGGCTGACTGTGGTTCAAATCCTGGTACCACATTGATGGACTGAGAAACATGCTGACTATGTGTGTGTAAGCTCAAAATCCTGATAAGAAGGAGAAATGTAGGAACGGGAATTGTGTGACCACATCCTATTAGGGGATACTTACTCTTGCTCTCTTTCTCTAAAGAGTGCACATACCCTCTGGCTGTATAAAAAGGAAACAATTGATTTTTGTGTTAGTCTATGAATGTCGTGAAGGTGTAGCTGCACAGTATTTGTATTTTACAGATTAAAATACAAATAATAACTTGCAAGTATTATTTTCTCATTTATATTTTTTCTTTTGTTTCACTTACAGTTATATATTTTTTTTCCCTGTCTCTTCTATTTTAGAGCTCTACTAGTTCAACAGCTTCTCCTCCGGTATCCACCCCTGTCACAGGACACAAGAGAATGGTCATTCCAAATCAACCTCCTCTAACAGCAACGAAAAAGTCTACATTGAAACCACAGCCTGCACCCCAGGCTGCACCTATCCCTGTGACTCCAATTGGAACACTCAAACCCCAGCCTCAGCCGGTCCCAGCCTCCTACACTACAGCATCTACCCCTTCAAGGCCTACCTTCAATGTGCAAGTGAAGTCAGCCCAGCCTAGCCCTCATTACATGGCTGCCCCCTCGTCAGGGCAAAATTATGGCCCAGGGACCCATGGCTATAACACTCAGCCGGTTCCTATCTCTGGGCAGTGCCCACCTCCTTCAACCCGAGGAGGCATGGATTATGCATATATCCCACCACCGGGCCTTCAAGCTGAGCCTGGGTATGGGTATACCCCCAACCAAGGACGCTATTATGAAGGCTATTATGCAGCAGGGCCTGGCTATGGGGGAAGAAATGATTCTGATCCTGCCTATGTTCCACAAGGCCAGCCGAGTACCTGGAAGCGGGAACCAGGATACACTCCTTCTGGATCAGGGAACCAGAACCCAGCTGGGATGTATCCAGTCACTGGTCCCAAGAAGACCTATATCACAGATCCTCTTTCAGCCCCCTGTGCCCCACCAATGCAGTCAAAGGTAAGAAACTTATAGAGATGGGAATAAAGGGGTGCTTTATTTAGTCTGCGTTCTCCAGAAAAAGAGCCTACAGTGAAAGTCCCTGTACTGCTCCTTTATTTCACTAGCATTTCATGAGTGAAGAAGAGGGAGATCTTATTTGTGGATAGGTTGTCCACATAATTACTGTTCAGTACTAAGTACAACTAATTATGAATCTTGAAGGATCATCTCCCGAAAGACCATATGTGCCGTAGTATCTCAGGACAATCTGTTCTGAGGGATGAAGGGGAAATAATTTATCTTCTATCTCATGTCTCCTGTTGGCCAAAGCTTCTCTATGTATCTTCCCCATGCACAAACATAATCTCTTCTCCAGAAATTACTTGCACATGTTGCATTTTCCTGGACACTGATGAGATCTGTAGCATCTCAGCACTCAGA